TCCTCCTCTTGTTTTATCTCAGAAATTGTTGTCAATTGAGACATCTCTTGCGCAGAAGAACCATAATCGATCCTTTGGGGTTGTGGTTCAAAAGAAACAGGATCAACCGGAAGGCGATTTTTTGTCATTGGCATCTGTCGTTTGAAAAGGAGGAAAGAAACAAAATTTGAGTCACCAGTCCGACGAAGGAAAATATTCGGGGGGTACATACAAACTTATTATCGATTTGAACCCACAGGTAGCTTGACAGATTAGGAACTTCTTCTTCGACGTAAGGCAAAACATCCCTTTAATCCATAAATTAAGATTTAAGCAAAGGATTGAACAACAAATTTCTTTGAATCCGAGGAAATGAAATTCACGAACAAAAATTTACCAATCAACAACTTTTATCTTGCCGAAATTACTGTTCACGGTAAGCTCAAATGTATCTTCGTGGATTCTCGTCTCACTGTAAGGCATCAATCAATCAATTCCAAATTCGAAGAAAAACATTCACAAACACGAATATTACACACACCCTTGGTTTATCTGTACAACATCACCGATCTTGAAGAACTGACCGTTTTCCCATATGACCAAGGTGCATACAGCAGTTTCGTCAGCAACAAGAAAACTATGAAGCTCAACCTCGGTCATTGTTTTTAAGGTACGTTGGGAAACTGGAAAGCAAAAGAGTTCCTTGAGGATCAGAATATTTTCGAGAAGACGAAGTTTTAGGTGGCTACATTTTGAGGTACCTACGACGTCTTAGGATAATGCACGTTAGGTCAAAACCACGGATCCATGGTTGCAAATCTCTTATTTTTATTACGCCACTCCTCTGTATCGGTATGGGTTTGGGTGTTGGGGTGGGAGGATTATACCTTGTTGTCGAGGAAGACATTTTGAGTGTAACATACAAATGGAAGGTGGACAGTCGAGAGCATCAAGAATTTTTATTGGTTACAAAGTTCGTACAGCAAGGCACATGACAAAGGATTACGTAAGAACAAACGATATCAGTCCTTCGTTCTGAATGCAAACTCCTTAAGCGCGTCACAAAACAACTCCAAACTGATGCCGTCGGAAACATAGGCAAAGTGCACACCCAGCCGTACCTCTACTTCTTTGTTTCTCGTTTCGTCGTCAAAAAATATCATTTTATCATACGGAATTCCCGTGGTCTTGTGCAATGACTGAAAATGCTTTAACTTGGTGCCTGAGTATATTTCGGCGTAGTCAACTACGTCAGCAAAGGTGCGATATTTATCTTTTGACTTCCCATTGTTTTCCCGGGAAATAATCTCTCCTTGGTCATTTAGTTCGGGAAAGGGCATTATCGACATCACCTCTCGAGCCCTTTCGAGTTTCGCAGCAAAAAAAAAAAAAAAAAAAACAAAGTGAAAATTAGAAGGAACACTGCAAACGAACACCATTTTCACAGTTGAGACTAACTACCAATCCCCTCTATGGGTGCGAGATGCCACCCCAATCTTGACATCAGGAAAGCATTTTATCAGGTGGAAAATCTTTGGGAGGTCGGGATATAATCGAATGGGTTTACCAGAACTACAAATATAACGAGCAAGATTAGACACAATCTCCGAGTAACATTTATAATAGGGTAGTTTCGAAGAAATCCACCTGATAGTGACAGTATAGGGATTAGATGGATCCGCTTTAAAAGGAGGACCCGAGACGCAGTCGATCCTAAAGAATCAATGGACTATTGAATTCGTAGGGTGTTCATAAGAGATGATATTTTCGAGCAATTTCAAAACATACCATAGTGGCCACGATGTAAAGTCAAGGTCGAAAACAAACAACGATGGAAGTAAATTTTTGGAATGAAGTTCTTGTAACAGTTCCATTGTAGACGCAAAAGAGAAGAGGGTTGATAGATCGACCAGACGTATATGTACATCAAATCACGTGATCGGACAATCACGATAGATTAAGATTTTATCGAAAAAACGTAGAACATAATTTCGAACAAATATGGTTACCGCCCTTACGCCATCTCATAGGGTTTCTATGGTGGGAATGAATTTGACCACACGTAAGAAATCACGATGCATTTATTTATTTATTTATTAGTGAGATATTGATCTGTTGTAACGAATCACCTGTTTCGAAACGAATAATGGAGATTGGATTGATATTGTGACGATGATAATGAAAGTACGCCGGGTGCATGGTTAGCTGTTTCACGTATACACGGTTTGAGATCAAGAGTGGACGATAATTCAATTTATTACGTGAGTGATCAACTGTTGCATTACTTTTGTTCGTAATCACTAGTAAATTCATGATTACAATAGTGGTACAATCGACAAATAATGAAAAATTGATAATGCAAACAAATGTAGTGGAATGAACCGGACGTTCGTATAAAATACGGCGTAAATATGTGAAAAACTAAAATATTGTGATGATATCGAATTATATTTGTTTGTCAATTGCGATTTCGACTGGTAAATGCGATCGAAAACGTGCGATACTTGTCATGATGACGGTAATACATACCATGCTTGACACATTTAATGCCATGATGTACCTGCAGGGGTTATTATTCCGTGTTATTCCCGGATCAATTGTCAAACACGCACACACGTAAAAAAAAATAATAATAATAATTTCTGCATCAAAGCGTTCCCGCATTCAAATGATGTGGGGTAGCTAGTCTTTTTTTTTTTTAAAAAAAAAAAAAAAAACCTCCCGAATAAATTTATCATATGATTTCAGAGTAGTTTCATATTACTTTGGTAAGCACATTATTTTTTTTTATGCCACCACTTACCCGTCAGCCGTATCGTAAATAAAAATTTCGTTTCCAGTTTCTTTATAAAGTAATCGGTAATTTATTCTCCAAACTTGGCAAATTTCATTAATGTCGATAAAAGTACGGTGTGTGTGTGACACGTAAATCATTTTTCGGACAAAATGTTGGAGAATTATGTATGATCACGTGACGCGGGTCCTTATTTTTCAAAAGCGCCTCTGGGAAAAAAAAGGTAAAGCGAAAAGTATCTCCCATTTTATGGCAACGCAACGTAATACACATAACAATGCAAAAAAAAATCTTTTATTATAACAAAATAAAAAATATTTACATGAAAATCTAAAACAGAAAAAATTTACAATGATTGGTTTTGAAGAAAAGCGCACATCCCGTTTTCTCCATGAAAACAAGGACCAAATCTCTAGCATAAGCTCAATTAAAACGAGAGGATGATGTTGTTAGCAAAAAAATGTATAATATAATGCTAGACGAAATTAGGGAAGCGTTCAAATGAATGATGTGAATATATCAATATACAGTGCATGTTATGTATACATGTATGAGGTTAGTACAAAGTATTTACACAGTAAAGTTGACAAGTTCCACAGAGTCAATTCCCCCAATCCCCTCACCCAGCGTGATGCCGTTCACGTAAACCTCCTCAAATATGACCGATTTCCTATAGGCTTCGTATTCGTTCGCCCAACTTTTTGCCGATTTAACAGTCTGATCCGCCTGAGTACGACGTAAGATATTATAGAAGTTATCCAAGGTTTGATTTAGCACATTGCGTCGACGTGATTTGCGTTGTCTTTGACGCATAACCACCTTGAATGACTTGGTGGAACTTGCAGAAATCGAGGACAAAGGTCTTGTCGCTGTGGTGGTTTTATTCGGGTTTTCCATAATTTAATCTTTTCCGTGAGAAATATGATTGATGTTACTGAAGGAAAAACTGTTTTTTTTGGAATTTCAGCGTGGTCTTAAAAAACATGAATTTTGTAGGATTAAATGGCAAAAGAAGAAAGAAAAATCATTTGTTAAATTCGATTCAGGTATTGTTGAAATACATAATGGTCTTCAAATAGGATGGTGGGAAATTTTTATGCGCACATACCTATTGACGAGAATAATGGCAAACAGGTTTTCTACCTTTTGATTCCTGTCGTCGATACTCTGTCTGTGTGGTGTTAGGGTCAAGTCACCGAGATGGTAATGCAATTGGATGCACGCCAAATTCTTTGAGAATGTTCGAGTGCATAAAGTTCAAATTTTAAGAGAATCAGTTGACTCTCATGTGTTTATGTATTGTATGTGGTGAGAGGCGAAGCCGGGATATTCACGATTATGAACAATCATAGGTATCTATCCGGTTTTACCAAATTTTCTCGCAAATTCTTCCTCTTGAACTTCGTCTCCCTTGTATTACCAGATGCGTGATGGATAGCGGAGAAATTTTCTGTCTCTCTAGAATCTTATTGTTTTCCGACATTCATGTACGCATATACTGCATATACTGTACATTGTATCTTTTCATATGATTCCGCGTGTAACCAAAAAATGGTTGTTCGTTATGATTCACGTGTGACGTGATTTTTGATACGTAGAAAAGATAACGCGATTTTGGAGAAATATTGTAAAACTGATTAAGAGATTTGCTTCCTCTTTTATTATCTCATTCAAACTTTGATTTAAAGAAACTCCGATGGGGCGCAATTTTTTCTAAATCGAGCATCAATCGTCATAATAAAAATTGCAATGATACAACGATACCCAATTCCTTAATAAATCCAAATTTGGAATCTTTTGAAGACGGTGTTGTTAATTGGTGCGGTTTATACCATTAAAGAAAAACTATATACAATACAATTCGTGGGTACTTGAAAATTGCAAGATTAAACAGGAATCAGAGCCACATACAGCATAACCCTCTTTTTTTTTACCAAATCAAATTATTGGCTAACCAGTATCGTCAAGTCGATGCTAATAATACGATTTTAGAACTTTCTTTAATATACAATAAAATGACTTGGATAAAAATTAATGAAAAAAAACAATAAGCCGTTCAAAAAAGGATATTAATAAAGTCAACAAAGTCCCTAATTTTAATTTTTATTTTAAAAAGATCATCAGAACCGATATAACAAAAATCAATTCTTTATTTTTTATCTAGAAAATACGCCATTAATTAATTTTAAAAGTTTATTGCCGTAACTCACTTTTTTTTTTAATTATTAAAATCCAATCACATTAAAAATCATCATTTTTCAAATATCACAAACTCGGTTTCTTTTATTTTCTGTGATTTTTATATTGTATACAAAATAAAAATATTTGATATTTTATAAATTTCATGATTGAACAAATATTTTTATATGAATTAATAAATCTAAATAAAATAAGATTTTTAAAATAAAAAAAAATTTTTTTTAAGTATAGTTTAATTGTTTTAAATAATGACATAATATAATAGAAATATTATTATTTTATTATTATTAAAATATTTTTGAAAAAAATCATTAAAAAAATTTAATATAAAACAAAATCAAGCTCAAATAGTTAATATTCTAATATCTCAAATTCAATAATATAAATATGTAATATTATTTATTTTTTTAAATAGATAAATATTATTACTTTATTATTCATATAATTTTAAATTTTTATATATAAAGAAAATAATAATATTTCTTATAAAAAACTATTTAAACAATAAAGCAAAACAAATATTAAAATCAATATTCATTTAAAATAATATCAAATGGTTATAAATATCTATTTAAAGTTATATATAATAAGTTTTAAAAAAATAAAAAAATAATAAAAAAATAATAAATAATATATATATATATATATATATATAACTTAAAAAATACTTAATTCATATGTCATTAGAAAATTTTTTTGATGAAAATCTCCAGAGATCTCTATCTAAAAACATTTTCAAAAAATTTAATATAAAAATTTTTATTTTAAAAAAATTTAAAAATCTTCAAAGTAATAATAATTATATTAAAATAAATAATTATTTAATAAATATTCATTACTTTTATCAAATCTTAAAATTATATAAACTAAATTATTTATTATTCTTATATTTACTAAATTATATATATCTGTTGATTTAAGATATTGTGATAGAATAGATAACTTATTTTTATTTTTACTTATTTTTATCAAATTATTATTAGTTTATTTTTAGCAGTAGGATTTATAATTTTATTATAGTATAAATATCTATTTATAGCACGAGTGACGTAGATCAGACAGTCTAGAAGATCCAAACTGCCTAGAAGACCCAGAAGACCTACAAGGCCTATGATTTATGAAATTATGACATCGTGACACATAGATCAGGCAGCCCAGACAGCCTAGACAGTCCAGACAGTTCAGATAGCATAGGATAGAAAACAGTATATAAGTAGCTGCCGTCCATGTAATTTTTAGTCAGTTTCTGATAACTTACTCCTGTAACCGTTGGAATTTCTAACTCGGTATTATAATAAAGTATTATTATTTTATTAAACATATTTTGATTATAAAGATTCATTGGAAAATCTTTGCCGTATCTTGGAATATTTGTGAAAGATTATCTCTGGAACGATAGACTGTTCTATATAATCTCTAATTCCTTCTAAAAACTATTACTCGGATACAGATCAAACGGATTTTGATCACATTTTTGGCAACGACGACAGAACAGTTGCCTTGAAGGAACAGATAATTTGAAAAACTGAAGAAATATTGTCATCTGAAAGGAACAACTATTTGGAAAATTGAAAAAAAAAAAAAAAGGACAGTCTTCTTGAAGGATCTGTCAATTGAAAGGATTGTATGAGCAACATACATCAGGATTGGACAACATCACAAATACCAACGACACCAAGATATTTTTCTGCCACCCATTCTTACCTTGATATCAGTTCTTCACCGAAATCAAGTGAAAACGACCTGACCACACTTGAAAATAATTCTACCACATCTAAGCAAAGCTTAAGTACATGACTTGCTCAATCAATGGATCGAGACAACCAGAGAGAATATTCATTTGGACTTGGATTAACACCTACACAACAAATAAGGAATAATAGTACTAGTAATAGGCAATTATTACCAATGCTACAATGAAGAGAGGAACAATCATATCGGAGAAATGATTTCTAAAATGAGGAGGATGATCAAAACTAACAGGAGGAGGATTGTCAAAATAATAGAGAGGACCATAGTGATAAAGAGGAACAAAGGAGTCACGTCAGTAATGAACTACCAGGACAAAACCTGGAGAGAAATTTGGCCATGGTGTTACAAAACTTGGATCGAACCATGCGACAAGTAAGGTTCCAAACTGGAATAAAGAAAACTCACCTAGTACCACTACCTACTTTTGGAGAAGGAGAACAAGATCCATTAGCTTGGCTACATAGCTTCCATAATACTTGTATAGCAAATAATATGATAGAGGAATGACAATTGGATCTTCTTCCAGTCTACTTGAAAGGAATTGCTTATACCTGGTGGATGGAAATAAGACAACGTATTAACTTGTGGGACAGCAATACACACCCTGACCGATCATTTACTCATTGTTTCCGTCACAAATGGTGTACCCCTCATCAAAAGTCAAGGTAGATGAATCAATTAAGAAACCAAACCCAAAAATCTGGAGAAACCGTCGATGAATATTGGGATGCAATTATAACCTTATACTATTGAGTAGATCTGAATGGAAAATACCTAGCAGAAGATAAATTACAACAATTTGTCAGTGGATTAAGAAATGAAATCAGGGGACCAGTGGAAATATCTATTTCTGCTAACATGGAAGAAGCCCTCAACCAAACACGAGCAGTGGAATTAACTTTGTCTAGGCATGCTCCCTTAAGTGCTTACTCAATGCTCCCAGGCTCTAATAATGCTGGCCATGAATTATAGGATATCCGAATGGCATTAACACAACTGACGCAAGGATTTCAACAACTGGCTACTCAACAAACCTCAAGAAAAAATACTGGAAACAATAATAATTCAAGGGAAACATGCACTTGTAATAAATGTGGAAG